CTAGGCCTGTGACTAGGAGTCAGAAAAGGGAGAGTACTGAGGAGGATTTAAATGTAACCCTGCCCCGTCTCCTGGTAGGGTTACTCGGACCAAATTCCACAAAAAACGTTCCAAATGAGAGGACTCATTTGGAACTGTCGAGGGGTGGGCAAGAAAGGAATGGCCACCTGCCTCTCAGACATGATCAGTGACCATTCCCTTGATTTCCTGGGTTTGCAAGAAACTATGAAAAAAGAGTTTACTCCTAAATGCCTAAGGAGAATCGATCCCTTTGACATTTTCCAGTGGAATTGGGTGCCTTCCACAGGCAAATCTGGAGGCATCCTATGCGGTACGCGGAGGGATAAGTTTGATATAGTCTCTTGTACTAAGGGCAAATACATACTGCAACTAGTGTTGCATGACATACAAAAAAAGATCCAGTGGGGTTTGCTGGTAGCCTATGGATCGGCACATGATGAATTCAAAAATGAATTCCTAGTTGAGCTAGCTTCCTGTTGCAGTGGCATGACCGTACCCTACATAGTAGGAGGGGATTTTAATATCCTACGACATTCGGGAGAGAAGAATAAGAAGATGTCGAACAACAAAGCCACTGACTTGTTTAATTCCATCATCAATACACTAGCTCTTAGGGAAATTCACATCAGTGGAGGGAAGTATACATGGACCAATAACCAGAATCACCCCACACTGGAGAAACTTGATCGAATTCTCATGTCAGAATGTTGGGAGGATATATTTCCCCTGGTATCTGTAAAGAAATTAGTTCGTGAGATCTCTGATCATAGTCCACTTTTGTTATCCTCTGGTGAAGAAGGGCGCGAAGCCCCGAAACCTCGTGAATTTCGTTTCAACCTGTCCTAGATTAAAGATGAAAAGTTTCTGCCTACTGTGAGTAGGATTTGGGCGAGGAAGGTTACATCCTCTTATCCCATTGATATTCTAAATATCAAACTGAAGAGATTTAAAACATACTTTAAAGGATGGGGCTCTGATAAGTATGGTCATGATAAGAAGAGGAAGGAGGACCTACGTATGGAACTTGCCATGCTTGAGGAAATGGAAGAAGAAGATATGTTGCCTCCTGACTTGTATAGTAGAAAGATGGATATCAACGCCGAGCTTTACGAGCTCCTAGTTAACGAGGAAATTTTTTGGCTTCAACAGTCCCATGAGCGCTGGCTGCTCAAAGGGGACCTGAATACTGACTATTATCACAAAATTGCCAATGGGAGGAAACGGAAAAATACTATACATTCACTCAAAGTAGGGGAGACCTTGATTGAAGGCACGGACAACCTGGTTGCCCATGCCACTGAGTTCTACAAAGAGTTGTTTGGGCCAGCTCCTGGTAACCAGATTCATCTGGACCCGGGGATCTGGTCCCCTGAGGAGAAATTGGATGACAAAGACAATAAGGATCTATGTAGAGAGTTTACAGAGCAAGAGGTTAAGGAGGCCCTGTTTGATATGGCTCCCAATAGGGCCCCCGGGCCTGATAACATTCCTGCTGAGTTTTATCAGGTGTGCTGGGACATAGTTAAAGATGATATTATGGCCCTGTTTAGAGCTTTCCACCAAGGAACGTTGGATGTTCAAAGGTTGAACTATGGGGTGATCACTCTTCTCCCAAAAATTTCTGGGACTGAGAAGATTCAGCAATATAGGCCTATATGCTTATTGAGATGCCCATACAAGTTAATCACGAAAGTCCTTGATCGTAGAGTTGTTGTATATGCAAACAAACTCATTAGTCCTACTCAAAACGCCTTCATTAAAGGGAGAAATATCATGGACGGAGTCCTGTCCTTACATGAGCTTCTTAACTACACATATGTTAAGAAGAGAGTAGGGATTGTACTTAAACTGGACTTTGAGAAAGCATATGACAAGGTAAACTGGGACTTTCTTCTGGAGTGCCACAAGATGCGAGGTTTTGATGATAAGTGGTGCAATTGGATTGAACAAATCTTGCGTAATGGGACAGTCAGCATTAAACTAAACGGTAGTGTTGGGCCATACTTTCAAAGCAAAAAAGGGGTGAGGCAGGGTGACCCGCACTCCCCCTTTCTGTTCAACTTAGCTGTTGAATGTCTCGCTAAAATGATTAAAAATGCCCAGAAAAGTAAACTGATTGTTGGTCTGGCGGCCGACTTGATTCCTGATGGGGTGGCAATTCTACAATATGCGGACGATACAATCATATGTATCGAGGATGATGTGGATAAGGCAGTCAACCTGAAGTTGCTGTTATATATGTTCGAAATGATGTCCGGTTTGAAAGTTAATTTCCAGAAAAGCGAGATCCTCACTGTGGGAGGAGATGATAATGTGGTAGAAAAATATTCAGAAATTTTTAACTGTGAGGTTGGAAGTTTCCCACTTAAGTATTTGGGGATGCCTGTGAGTTATGCCAATCTTAAAACTTCGGACTGGGAGTTCATTGTTGATAAGTATCTAAAAAAATTTGATGCCTGGATTGGAAACGCTGCCTCAATGGGAGGGAGACACACTCTGCTTGATTCTGTTGTCACCCAGCTCTCGCTATATCATATGTCTATGTGGCTTATGAACAAGACCTTCATCGAGAGGTTGGATAAACACAGGCGCAGATTCTTTTGGCAAGGATGTAACAAAAAGAGGAGATACTATCTTGTCAAGTGGAACAAGATTTGTAGATCCAAAAACAAAGGGGGGTTGGGCATTAAAGACCTTAGAAAACAAAACATCAGTCTCATGGTCAAGTGGTGGTGGAAATTAGAGACACAAAAAGGACTCTGGCAGGATATAGTCCGTGCCAGATATCTTCGCAACACATCTGTTGCTGAAGTTTCCCCCAAATTCTCTGACTCGCCCTGTTGGAAGGCCCTACTCAAAATCAAAAACATTTATATGATGGGCAGGAAGATCGAAACTGGTGCTGGAAACCTGATAAGGTTGTGGAAAGATCCAATCAATGGGCTGACCCCGTTTCAGGACCAATACCCTCGTCTGTTTGAGATATGCAACTATCCTACGTGGACCCTGAATAGAAAAGATAGGCTTGAGGACACCGACATGTTCAGACGTAGGCTTACCCCTGAGCTGTCCAAGCAATGGGAGGATATGCGTACTGCAGTTTGTAGTATCCCCCTCGTCGAGAGGAACGATCGTGTATTTTGGGGACTTAACCAGAATGGCAAGTTCACCACCAAATCGGTGTATAAGATGCTGGAGGAACCTCTTAGTGGTTGCCATTATAGATGGATTTGGAAAGCCAAAATCCCTCTTAAAATCAAAATCTTCTTATGGCAGATGTCGCAAGACGCTATTCTCACTAGGCATGTCATGAGGAAAAAGAAATGGCCAGGGAACCCCTGTTGCTCCTTCTGCAAACAGGTTGAAACGATGCAACACCTATTCTTCAATTGCCCTGTGGCTAGAATTGTATGGCGGTCGATTGGAGTTGCTCTTGGTACTGATAGATGTCCGTCGAGTTACTGGCAGTACTTTGTGTGGTGCAACAAATTCCTTCCTGGGAGACAAAAGTTTTACACAGTAGGTCTGGCGGCTGTGTGTTGGGCGATTTGGTTGGCGCGCAACCGAGCTACCTTTGAAAAAAAGCAAATCAAGACTCCTTTTGAGATTGTGTTTTCTTTGTGTTCCTTTCTTCTTTACTGGGCAGGGCTTCAGCAAGGGGAGGACGCCAAGGATCTTCGTTCCGGAGCCGAGATGATCAGAACTGGCACGATGAAGCTGATGAAGGTGTGCGGCGCTATCAAGCAACCAATCCAGGGTGCTTGAAGAAAGAAGACAGGCGCGCAACCCCGATGCTGGATTCTCTTGGCGAGATTACTATATAAATGCTAGACTTTGTTGCTGGGTTCTGATACTTGTTCTTGAGCTTTTGTGATTGTAATAGGTTAGATGTTATGATGTGCTACCAGGATTTTGCCCCATGGTACTCGTTTCGATGGCGAGCGAGTATGGTGGGTTTTCTGGTAGTGCTTGAACTCGCTTTACTTCTTTCCCTCCTCCTGACACTCTCGCTCGAACTGGTTGTATTTCTGTTCTTGGCAATGGAAAGGGGTAAAGCCCGGTTCAAAAAAAAATCAATTTTGTATCACGTCGAGCACACGGGCCTAATGTCTGGAAGGTGGTTCTCCAGGGCGCTTTGCCGCATACCTCCTGTGTTGGTGATTTTGGGGCTACTAACGTCGTCCTCTCTGTGCCTGCTCTTCACTGCCCTTATCTTGGCGCAATTCAGGGGCCTGGAAGAGCTACAACGTCATGGTCTTTCGATGCATCAACCGATGCCTAATGTCGTCCCTATAAACATCGTCGCTGATGTCCTTTCGTGGTGTTGGCGCTGCTCGCGCTTCATTTGTAGAACTATCCTAGAGGCATGGATCAAGACTTTTCCGGTGTCACCCCAATTTTGTTTGTGCTCTCCCTGTTTGCAACCCCCTCCCTTCATAAACACCCTTCTAGCAGATCCTATTAGCCTTATAAGCAGCTTAAGTAAAAATATGTACGCTGGGGTGGCAGGACTTACATCGTGCAGCATTGATCACATTCAAGAAAGGTAATGGCAGTTTGAACGAAGTTGTTGCCACCGGGACGAAGTGGCTTGAGGCATTTATGCAATCACATTCTAGTATTCAGGTTTATTCAACAATTACATCAATAAAACATAAGTTACATGACACAAAAATGATAGCACTAGAAAATACTTATGAATATAAATCCATGGTATTAGCTTTGGGTCACATAGCCCAAATATAACTAGTCTCATTATCGGCCAATCTTAGATATTGAAATGAGTTGAAGTGGTCTACAAATACAGGCCAGGGTAGCTACGAAGCAGCTACCAAAAGAATAGATCATAACTCCACAGGGTCAAATACGCTGTTCACGTAAAATTTTGTTAGGTGACATAAAAAGTGTCCCGGAGATTATTGCTGGTGCTGTAGTCAGGACTCGAGCTGCATCTGTAGTGCCAATTGCCAAGTCCAGGGTTATTGCTGCAGCAACTTGACGAGATCGTGCACAGAGTTTGTGTAAAGATCTGGATGGATGGTATTTGAGGCATCCTGAAGTTCTGGTAAGGTAGTCACACCTGCAAATGCAACGCAGGTCCAAGGCATTTGAGCACTTCAGTAAACACGAGTACGAGATTGTTCAACACATATGAGAAAGGGCAAAAGTTCCTCGCCTGACAGAACAAGGAGGGTCTTGCAACCAGTATTCTGGCCAAATAGTATGTCTGTGTCTAGTCTGTCACCAACCATGCACATTCTCGACGTTTCCAAATTGAAGCTGCAAGAGTACAAACAGCGAGGATTTACAGATAAGTTAAAGGGGGGCAGCCCCAGTGCATGTAGCTCCCGCTTGCGCAGGGTCTGGGGAAGGGTCCGACCACTTTGGGTCTATTGTACGCAGCCTTTCCCTACATTTCTGCAAGAGGCTGTTTCCAGGACTTGAACCCAAGGCAGCAGCTCTACCACTGCGCCAAGGCTCCCCTTCAATTTACAGATAAGTTATAAACAGAAAATTCAGATAAATATAAAACAGCATGATTGTTATCCCATCGTCACACTGTTGTATGAGCGTTGCCCGCCAACGAAATGTTTAGCAAGACGAGAATGTGCATGAAGGAAAGTTTGTACAGGAAATTAGATATTTTTTTCGTTTGAGATGTGCACTTCATGTTCAGTACAAACGTAATGATGATGATACTTTCAAGAAATCTAGAAGATGCATACTTCAGAACATTATGAAGCTGACTATATATGCAACCATGCAAGAAACTGTGTTCAGTCGAAGAGTTCAGGAGCTCCTGCACTACTAAGAAATGAAGAGTTGTGATTATCTACACCACTCACCCACTCCCTCCCTCTCTCTGGAGAAACAAATCAAATGTAAGCCAAATGAGGGGTTTTCACAACAATCCGTCCAAACAAATCTTAGGCGGTGTTTGGAGCCAATGCAATTCGTTGGTTGGGAATTTTACGTAACTGAGAGATTAAAATCAACTCTTATGTAGACTTAGTGTCTGTGGGAAACCAAAGTGTGCTGGTATGGTATCTAAGACTTGACAAAACTTCCGTAGAAACAATATTAAATGCTATTGTTCCAAAACAATAAATACTTATTAGTACCCATTCATATAAAATTTCCAATCGAAGGACTGCATGAGCTCCAAATAACAGTGCCTCGGAACATATGTTTGGGCGATTTGTTGTGAGAAAACCCTCATTTAGTTTGGATTTATTTCTCTAGATGCATCAGTATTACCTACTTATTTACAGCCATTGTACATAAGAATAATCCTATAGATGATTTCATGATATCCTATTTAGTACACGTTTTAGTAACAAGCAAATTATATTTTTCTTATGTGTGCAGTTTGCAGACCTTTTCAATAGGAAGTCCATCAAAAAGCTTGAAGGTTTTCCAACAACAATGGGCTCTTTCTGCACCGAGCAACTTACTGCAGCAACCATAGTTCCAGCTCCTGAAACTCAACGCAATCAGAAAATGAACCAGTACAATAGAAGCTCCTGAAATCAAAGTTTGACATTTCTGGACAGAAAAACCTGGCCATTCTTGGGCGGATGTCATATGTCCAGTAGGATCACGGTTGGTCGCAATGAAAAGACAGCCTGGATTCTCACGGATACACAAGCTTGCATACCTGCGAGAACACCATTATGTTTGACCCTTGCAGAAAACCACAGAAAGTTGAAAGGACGAGGTTGTATCATGGAAGAAAGAATGCAGCGCTCCAACTTTAAATGTAGTCACAAGGTTACATTTTGCCAACAATAATGGAAAACTGGGGCTGTGAGATGGCATGCATCAAGTTATCAAAGAAAAAACATGTTTGGTTAGAGTATGCTATGATTATAACTTCTGGAGAATAATATCTAAAATATGCTCTTGATAAACTTGCAAACAGTCACTTAGAAATTGCAGGAGACAGATGTGAAGTTCGGCAGCAAAAAGACCTTGCAATCGGCACAGAAAATAACAATTGTACAACTTTACTAATACGATTCTTCTGGTTGCAAGCAACAAATAAGATTAAACAAGATAAGAGGCCTTACTGCATTTTGTAATAGTTGAAGTACTGATCAAGTCCAACAACGACAGCTCCAACCTGGAAGGAGATTCATTTATCTTAGATCACGGTGGGGTCTAATATTTCAAAGAAAGGTGGTTGGAAATTAAATTTGATAAACAGGTTTGGCATTACACTTTTGTCGTGGTCAAAGTAGAAGTTCGCCTCTAACATTATGTTTTTCTTGCCATCCTCCTACAAAAAACAACATCAGTTTTGGAAGGCAAAACAAAGGTAACATATCTCCTTAAGGTGAACTGATGTTTTCAAGCCTTTGGAAAGTCTCCCTTATTGATGGATAGAAATAATTCAAAATATTGCAATAAATTTGACATGTTTGGCTCTATGGTTCGGAATACTCATCTTGCTATTGCTTGGAATGTTTTTGCAACTGTATCTGTTGTAAACTCAACTATGTGTGCCTATTTTATTTCAGATATAGGTGACTCGTCCAAAATGACTGTTGCCTCAACATTGAAAACCATAGTAAATGGCATGCTGCACCCGGAAGTGGCCAATCATACAGCAAATGTCCCATGCAATGAGGAACTTTGTTCCTACTGACTTTTCACAATAAATTTATTTCCGAAAGAAACAGAGAATTATGATGCATCAATGTGGGAAATATTCACACATAATCAATGGTCTAATTGTATACATGAACCATTAAAACTATCAATCTTAGCACTCCAATAATATATTTGTTCATCTTTAGTTTAGTAAAGAAGTTCAAGAAAACACAAGTGAGAAGCTTAATTTATTTTTTGAATAATAACTAGCATAACTTGGATGTATCAAGAAAAACAGGACATCATTTTATTTTATTTTAAAAATCAGAAAAACAGGACATCATGGTGAAACTAGAGGACCCGAACCACAAACTTGCAAATGGAATAGAATAGATAACAGATGGTCAGACCAAGTATGACATACATACCGGACCACCAAAACATTCAAAGCCAGCTAACTTGAGCTCATCCAAAATGCCATCCTCACCAACAACATAAACCTTCAAGATGAAGTTTCAGCAGTAATCAGTATTTTAATAGTGGAAAATTAAGGCATGAAATTCGTTAAATACCATTTTGCAGCAAATAATACAATAGGTAGCAGATTAAGCAAAATGACAAATGCCCAAATATCAGGAGCATTGGTATCAGAACGGAAACATAAAATAACACATGGAAATAGTGCAAGGAACTAGAAGTGCAACCAGAATACTGGATAGAGTTGAACTAGCAACTGAATTTGGTCAAGCTTCTTAAATTGTGTGCCAAGGGAAATGATGTTCCTGTTGACATCTTTCTGTAAAGCTCATAAACCACAGATTATAGGAAACAAGCAAACAGAACAGGTTGGATCCCATCTTTAACTGCACAGAGCAATGAATACCAGTTCTTTATTATATAAGATAAAAGATACTTTTACTAGTTAAGCCAGATGTAGTCAAGAGCTAGAAACAGTCCTTCTGCAAACAGTAAAGGGAAACTCGACCTCTTAAAAATGTAGGATAGCAAATGGCTAGACATAAACTGGAATTTTTCATGTAACCATTGGTAATATGCATCATATTGTTTTGTATAAAGGAAGAACAATCAGCTCAAGTAAGTGCTTTTTGGTTTGTCCCCTAGTTTAGTATAACTTTCACAATCTTATTGTAAAGTGCTGCAGGCTGTTGTTGTGTTGTTAAGCACCCACATACATCACTGTTTCGAATGATCCAATTTATGGTTCTGTTGAAGTGTTTCATAATAATATTTTTATCATGACACAGTAACTGATCATACAGTAACATGGCATTTTAAGAAGCTCGTACAGTCAAATTTCTTGAGCTAACTGCTATAAAGACTATTTAGATTGGTAAGGTCAAATGATATCATTAAATTAGTCCACAATATTTTCTTAATACATTCTTTCTTATATTCATGTAAAAAGAAACTACGGGCCAAAGTCGCAAGTTGTAGACTACGCCTATGTACAAAACGTCCCGTCTTAAACAGAGGGGGTATCAGTCATAGAGCATACTCCAAGACATGTATATAATGCAAAAATTACTAAGAGAAAATCAACCTATGCAGAAATATTTCACGATACCTTCTTTTCTGGAGAAAAATTATTTAACTTCAAGAACATGGCTGCTGCAAATGATGACGTGAAGATCTCTTCCTACAAACAAGTTAACGGATCAATACAATACAGAAAACAATGATCACAGAAATATGGTTGTACTGAAAAGAGAAAACTACCTCAGTAACTTCAAGGCCAAGTGTTTTGAATTTCTTTGAATACTGCCTTCTCGACTTCCTAGAATTGTTTGTTACAAAAACTAATTTCTTGCCCTGCACCAAGTGAAACCAAATAGAAGCATCATTACGGAATCTTCACATAATGGTGCATTTATGAACCAACCAAAATACAGCGATGGACTTTGAAAACTGGAAATTATTCAAAAGAGCATATCAATGCCCTAATAGTGGAAGAGAAGGTTATCAGTACTTGTTTGGTCAATATGGATGCTATGATATTCCTAGACCAGCAGTATATCATGTTGGAAGAACAAATGAGAGAAACCAGAATGATGATAAAGCAAACACCATGTTGAATAATCATATATATGAGTAATTTATTTCTATTAGTTACAGAACTAGGAGGTTACTGATATTTGAGACATAGCAGGGAAGCTCAGTCATTAGCTACTATAACAAATTTTCCAGCCTTGTCAGATTAATGATTAAGTGTGATTGCACGGTACAAACATAAAGATTTTTTTACATCTTATGAAGAATCCAAATATTACCCCTTTCATTCTCTAGCCATGACTTGGAAATTATCTTCAATCTGACTTGTGTACTGCTCAAAGAATATGTGATGCTGTGACGAGAGCAAATGCAAAGTTTACTTCCTGTCTTTAGACTTCCAATCTAGCTAAGTAAATGCTTTAACAAGATTTCAGTAAGCAGGGCTAGCTCCTGTGAAGTGCAAGAACACGGAGAAAAGGCCCCATCGCAGTTGAGCATCCCTCTGGTAATTTCAAAATACCCCCTAGGATCAACTGAATGCAACCAAATCATAGCTGAGACTAGAATACAGATTATCTAATGTTAACAATTTAAGCTAAAACTTTCCCTTAAAAAATTAAGCAGAAACTAGAAAAAATCTTCTCATAAGAAGATTGATGCGGTGTGATCCGAGTGGCTACTATAACACTGCCTATCCAAACAAGACACACAGCTTTAACTACAATTTTACCAACTAAGGAAGAGATGAGAGGGGGCCGGGGGCGCAAATCGTTCGCCACTTCGTGATTAGAGCGGTACTCTTGCTACCAGAACGTCCGGTGCGGCATACCAATTTTCGCAGCAACTCCAGCGTCTCGGGGACCCCTTGGATGAGCTCGTCCCCTTTCCAAATCACCCCTGAAGAAACAAAAAAATAAAATCAAAGGAGCAGGGGTAGGAATCCACTGGCGAGAGCAGAAGAAACGGGGGGCGATGAAGACGAGACCATCGCAATCGAAGAGGAAGGCGTCGACGGAGCCGACGAGGGATCGGGCGGCGTCGGCGGTGAGGAGACCTTTGGCCATGGCTTTTCTTCTTCGCGGCGGCTCCTGCTGCTTTTGCGCTCCGGCTATGTGAAAATTATTATTCGCTGCATCCTCGTCGAGAAAACGTGCGGCGAACGTGGCAGTAGGTAAGAGCATCTTCAACAACAAGTGATTTACGATGGGAGCTACGAAGAGGACGTTATATGCACGTTTTTATTTTAAAAAATATATAGAATCATCGCATCCTCTAAAAAATATCTTTAAAAAAATCATCATCTTCATCTTAAAAAAAGTAAAAAAAAAAACGACCAGCGAGTGCCACTTTACATAACCCTCCATTTAAAAAATACCAGAGGTCCTCACCTCCATCTACAAAGAAAGAAATACATTTAAAAATTAATCCATACCTTCATCTAAAGAAAATTCCGAAAGATTTCACACCGCGGCCAACCAGCTTGCGCCACGTGGCATAGCTGGTTGGCCGCCCTTCACGCGTAGCTTAATGGGTTTAATTTGTACACGAAAGTATCAGGCGATACCCAACCCACAGATGCTCCCATGCTACCTATTTAAAAAAAATTACTTCTGAAAAATAAATCATGGGTGTTCACAGCACATGTTTAGATAATCCCTAAAAAAATCAAATGAAAATTCAAAATATACATTTGAGAAACGAAAAAGAGAAATCCGTCATGAATAGTGTCAAAGGAAGACAAAAACTGAAATGACACAATTCACATCTAAATTTGTCTTTTTTGGTTCTTCATGTGTATTTTGAATTTTGATCTAGATTTTTTAGGGGGTGTCGAAATATGTGTTGTGAACATCCATGACTTGTTTTAGAATGTTTAAATTTGAACTTTTCAACTTTGTATCATGGGGAGCATATGAGTGTCGGTATCACTGGATATTTTCCCGCATTTTTACCACACAAAAAAAATGTTACTCCAACACTTATGTTTTGAGCCTATCTCACGTGGATAGATTCTTTATGGTGGAACCAGCCAAACAGGATTCAAGTCTTGTGTTAAAAAAAATACCATATCCCTTAAAAAATTGTTGGCCTATCTCTATCTTATGTTGTAAAAAAAATTGGCGGCCTCAATTTTTTGCAGCAACAACCCGTTGTCGTAATACAAATCCTGTAGCGCATGACTGCCCAACTGCGAGCAGAAACTTCACACATGTGGCCGTGGACAGCACCACTGACCCGACCGCCAACCCCGTCATCATCGTCGCTGCACCCACAACTTCTCATTTGATGGTTCCCGCCGCCACCAAACTGAAGGCTTCCGATGTCCGTTGACAAGTGTTTGCGACCCCACGAGTCGTCTTCGTGGTTGATAGGATGTGTCGGGCCACGTCATTGCTCCGAAAAGCAAGCCCCCTCCCCCAAAGCCATGGACGGCACCGACGGCAAGAGGCCGCAACAGGATCCAACGCCAGTTGCCCTATGCGCGAAGAAAAGCAAGGCCGTGGCAATGGCTGATGTGGTGGTGACCTCTGTCTCTCTTAATTTTGTCCCACCGTCGTCTGGGGAGGAGGAACCGACATCCTCGTCACCACGACCACCGACGTGCACAACATGTTTGAGGAAATGTCTCAAAGGTTATATTTGCCACAAATTCGATCTTTTCAATGCAATTTGTGGCGTGATGTGTGTCTGAATTATTCAGTTTTGGTGTGTGTAGTCTCGATGATGAAACTCTTTGGCACTATACGAATGTTGCACCGCAAGATTTTGTCTCTCGAGGAATTCACAATTCATCGGATCCCAACAAACACACTGCGAGAATTACATCGAATAGATTTCATGGGAGATAATTATATTGAAGATCAAAATAGAGAAGAGAAAGTCGTCTAGTTATTGCTATGTACCCATATTTCCTGAAGGAACTACTCACACATCATCATGGGGGCAACAAGGTCGATGAAGATTGCCTCCCTAATGGTTTCCCCCTCTAGGGGAGTACCAAAAAAGGCATCTAGATGGATCATGGAAGAATAGAGGCTTGTGACGACGATTAAATTGTTTCGGGTCTCGCTTCGGGGTTTTTGAAATATATGAGAATTTACAGGCCAAAGATTAGGTCATGGGGGCCTCAAGGGGGGCATGAGTGCTGGTGCTCCCCCCCCCCAGGGCACGTTGTTTGATCTTTTGGAGCTTCGTGGGTCTTCTGGTTTCTCCTGAAAGCTTCTAGGGTCTCTTTGGGTCCAGAAAAGATCATCGTAAAATTTCATCGTGTTTGGACTTCGTTTGGTATGGTTTTTCTGCGAATCAAAGAAATAGAGAAGAACTGGCACTGGGCACTAAATTAATAGGTTAGTCCATAAAAATAATATAAAATGACATATAAAGCATACAGATGATAATATAATAGCATGAAAATAATCAAAAATTATAGATACGTTGGAGACATATCAACATGCAACATTAGTGACAACGATGGATTGGCTGCTTCACTCCGCCATCGACGGTCAACAGTATCATCAGAATGTCAAAAGTGGTCGGGGTGCTTGTCGCAAGTTAAGCGCATTGGCCCAAGTGGTACAAATGGTGGACACGAGGTGATTATTTGCTCATATTGATCAAATATCTTGTCAGGTGTATTGGTTGCTAGCTTGTTTTGTCAGATGTATTGGTTGTCAAAGGAAAAGGAAAAGGGAAAAATGGGGAAGAAAGGCAGGTCATTCACTTTGCATCATTGTTGGAAGGATCTTGAAAATGAGGAGAAGTTGAAGAACCGAGAGGCATGTGAAGTTCCTAATGAGAAGAACTCTAATAGCACGGTTGGAAATGCAACAATGCCCTCTAGTACTCTGTTTGTCTGTTTTATTTGCGTGTGTGTGTGGTGTAAAGTTATGTTGGGTCTTGTGGCTCTGGTGGTTTGCTTTATATATAAAGTGGGGAGAAAGCCTTTTTTGGTAATGCAGCAATGATTGGTGGTGGTAATGATGATGATGTATCAAGTGCGCGAAGAAGGAGAACAAAGCTCCGCTCCCAACTCGGTTGCTTATACGAGTAAGCCCAGTAGAAGAAGGAATGGCAAAGAAGGCATGAAGGCCGAAGACAATGATATGAAGGAATCATTAGACGCCATCTTGAATGCAAGAAAAGATATGGCCGAAGAAAGAAAGGCTATGAAGATCAAATAAATGGAGGAGAGGTCGCCAGCCGACAAGTGAAATGCGGCGACCGAGGAGAGGAGGGTTACATCCAAGGAGAGGTTGGTGGTACCCGAGGAGCTAAAGCATGTGGCCGAGGAGAGGAATGTGGGCATGGAATGAAAAAACCAAAACATTGGAACAAGAGCAAAAGCTAATGTTCATGGACACAAGTAGTCTTGACGAGAAGCAAAAAAGCATACCTCATGTTGGTGATGAGAGGTCGATGGGAGGATACATGGAAGTAGGCATGGCGCCATTGGTATTGACATGGATGCCATGGGTGGCAGCATGGTGCACACATGTGACATGGCATGGAAGGCTTCATGGGTGCCAAGGGAGGCTTCATGAGTGTCGTGTGAGGCGGCATGGGAGGCTTTATGGGTTTGTATCACAAACCGGGACAAAAGGGGTCTAACTTTTAATCCTGGTTGGAGACACAAACCGGGACTAAAGGGCAATTTTCAAACTCTACCCCCCCTGGTATCGCCTTTTCTGTTTTGAAAAAAAAGAAAATGATAAAAACTTCAAAAATTAAATCCTTCGAGATGTAGTTATGTTACTACTTCTAGTAGTTAGGGAAATTTAAAAACATAAATTTTGACATGTTTTGCAAAAAAAATGTTAGGAAAAAGTAAAACGACCATATCTTTTGCATACGATGTCGAAAAAAACCCGCATAATATATCAAAAAATCAGCATGAAAATCCGCATCCGATTTCGACGTCCGTAGGCCGTCTTTGCAAATTTTTAGAATCCTGAAATTCTTCAAGGAAAAAAAGTTATGCTTAAATTTTAGGGTTTTTTTGAATTTTGATTAAATCTGGTCAAACTATGGTCAAACTACTTATTCAAGAAATATTAGTGTTACTAAATAATTATTTTACCTCTTTTGAATTTTGGTCAAACTATGGTCAAACTACTTATTCAAGAAATATTAGTGTTACTAAATAATTATTGTATTTCGGAATAATGGTTTCAAACTCAAATAGTGAAACATGTGACTTCATACTCAAGCTAAACTCTTGAGGGTTAATAGGATTGACAGCTTACTATTATCAGGAAAACAACAAGTGCTGACTTGGAAACTAGGGAGAATAGAACTCGAAAGTTAAGCGTGCTCAGGCTGGAGTAGTGAGAGGATGGGTGACCGGCCGGGAAGTTAGATGATTTGAAATGAGTGGTGTACACTTGAGCAGTTATGAGGGGTGATTAGAGACTAAATCGTCAAATAATTTAGAAAATTGAAATTTGAAAAAAAAATAATTTTTTCCAAAAAAATCCTTTAGTCCCGGTTGGTGTTACCAACCGGTACTAAAGGTCCCCCAGACCATCGCACGGGCTCGTGCCACGTGGTGGGCCTTTGGCCCCGGTTCGTGTTGAACCGGGACTAAAGGGGGGTACATTTAGTCCCCACCCTTTAGTGCCGGTTCCAGAACGGGACTAAAGGTCCTTACAAACCGGTACTAAAGGTCGTTTTTCTACTAGTGGTGGCATGCAGGGGGGGCATGGGTCGCGTTGGTGGTTCCATGGGGAGAGGATTGCAAGATGACATGAGGTGGCGACATGGATAGCATGGGAGGAACCTTGGGTTCCAATAGTGCCAATGGTGCCAATGAAGAGGAAGCAAGCCATCAGATCATGCAACTCCAAGTGATGGCAATAGAGGTAATGAAATTTGAGTGCCCATGCATTCTTATATGACTATGGTGTGTTTGTATGAATGATGGTTTTGTTTGTGTTGCACTATGCTATGCTTCAAATTTGCATTTGATACATGGATTTGAAGTACATTTTGATATGTCATTGATCATGTGTGTGATGATCTTGTAAAGTTTTTTTCCAATATGTATGCAATTGTGGGGAAGAAAACGTAGTCGGTGCCCTATTTTGCATCATCTGCTACGACGGGGAAAATCTCATACCCTATCTTACAACATCTGCTACAATATGGTGCCCTAAAACCAACCTTTTAGGGCCTAAAATTGTTT